GAGAGAGAAAGAGAGAGGGAAGGAGAAAGAGAGCGGGGGGGAGAGAACAAAAGAGAGAGAGAAGGAGAGCGAGAGAGAGAGACAAAGAGAGAGGGAGAGAAGAAGAAGAAGAAGAAAGAGAAAGAAAGAGAGATGTAGATACAAAGATATACAGACGTACAGGATACATGTATTAAGGGATATATTTAAAAGACACAAACCGCCAGGTGCTATTCACACGTTACTCAAATTTCTCGTTTAGGGATGAGAAGCGAATGCCGTTTTTCTGCATTTTCGTTCGTTTGTATTTATTCTATTTTTTTCCCTTTTTTTTTTTTTACTTCTTTTCTTCTTCCTCTGTTTTTCTTCTTTTCTTCTTCTTCTTCTGTTTTTCTTCTTTGATTATTTCTTCATTCTTTTTCTTCTTCGTCGTCGTAATCATTATCATCATCGTCTTATTTTTCTTATTTTTCTTCCTTCCTTCCTTCCTTTCTTCCTTGATTTCCTTCTTCTTCTCCTTATTCTTCCTCTTCTTCCTTTCTTCTTCTTCCTCTTCGTCTTCCTTTCTTCTTCTTCTCCTCCTCCTTCTTCTTCTTTTTTCCCATCTTCTCAATCTTTTTTCTCTTCTACTTCCTCTTCTTCTTCTTTTTTTCTTCTTCCTCTTCTTCTTCTTCTTTTCCTCTCCTTCTTCTACTTCTTCTTCTTCTTCTTCTTCTTCTTCTCCTCCTCCTCCTCCTTCTTCTTCTTCTTTTCCTTCTTCTTTTCCTATCCTTCTCCTTCTTCCTTCTTCTTCTTCATCTTCTTTTCCTCTCCTTCTTTTACTTATTATTATCATTACTATTATTATCATTCCTTTTTTCTTCTTCTTCTACTTCTTCTTTTCCTCTCTTTCTTCTTCTTTTCCTGCTTCTTCTTCCTTCTTCTTCTCTTTAAGGAAGTTGATTAACATGATAAATCATCTCATATCCGACGGCGAAGAAGACGGACAAGGGAGGCTGACAGAGCAACTTGCAATTAACACTCTCAGATCAACATTGCAACTGAGGATTCGCTGAAAGGAAGAAGCACTTGACTGCGTGCAACATGATTTAGATCAGATTCATGACTGCGATATTGCAATCAAAGGAGAGTTATTATATTCTCTCTTTGCAGGATGATGAAGGACAGTGAGTGACATTGTTCAGTTTTTTTTTTTTTTTTTTTGGTTCTTTTTTGTTTGTTTTTTTGTTTGTTTTTGTATTCTGAGACGTTGTTGGAAAGATATGATAAATAAGACTGTAAAGAAAAGGGAAATAAGATAAAAGGATGGAATATAGAAGGAAGGAAAATAGAAATATGTTTTTTTTTTTTTTGTCTTTCTTTCTTTATTTATTTATTTTTTTGGGGGGTGGGGGTAATGATGGATGTATCATTTCGCTTTCTTCATATTGATATATACGAAAAAGAAAAACAGGAACAGGAAAAGAAAAAAATAAACGAAAGAAAAAGATTACTAAAGGGGAGCATTGTCACTTTTTTCTTCTTCTTCTTCTTTTTTCACACTCCAAGAATGAATGAATGAATGAATTCAGAAGAAGAAAAAAAGATGAAAAAATAACCGAGACAGAAATTTTCAATAATATATATATATATATATATATATATATATATATATATATATATATATATATATATATATATATATATATATGTGTGTGTGTGTGTGTGTGTGTGTGTGTATACATATATATATATATATATATATATATATATATATATATATATATATATATATATATATATATATATATATATATATATATATGCATATATATATATATATATATATATATATATATATATATATATATATATATATATATATATATATATGTGTGTGTGTGTGTGTGTGTGTGTGTGTGTGTGTGTGTGTGTGTGTGTGTGTGTATACATATATATATATATATATATAATATATATATATATATATATATATATATATATATATATATATATATATATATATATACATATATATATATATATACATATATATATATATATATATATATATATATATATATATATATATATATATATATTTATATATATATATATATATATATATATATATATATATATATATATATATATATATATATATGTATATATATATACACACACATATATATATATATACATATATATATATATATATATATATATATATATATATATATATATATATATATATATATATATATATATATATACACACACATATATATATACATATATATATATATATATATTCCTGAAACTTGAGAAAGTATAACCAGTCTATTTCGCCTTTGTTAAATATGAACGTAAAACTAATCCAACAAAGTCATTCTTTGTCTCTTTCTTTCCACACAAATCGAAAGAAGAAGCAAAAGAAAAACAAAAACAAACAGCAAACAAAATCGCGATCAAACGCATAAAGAATAAAAAAGAGAATGGGGAAGAAGAGAGAAATAAAAAAGAAAAGAAAATATATACGTACTTTATATATTCTTCTTGGGATCGACGATGTGTGTTTTTGGCGTTTCCACGTGCGAGAAATCTCTGCGAATTAATTAGTTTTTTTCTTTTCTTTTCTTTCTTTCTTTCTTTCGTTCACTTGTAGATCTTGAGTAAACTTTATTTATACATAAGCCTCGGAAATGTACGTGTCAGTTAATTGATACGAACACGTATATTTTCTTTTTCTCGGTTAAGGAATATTACGAAAACATAAAGTCGGAATTAAGTTTTGCATTTGTCTTTTTTTCCCACAATTATTTAGTAAACGCTTCCTGTTCTTGTGGTAAAATCATGTCATCGCTATCATACTATCTCCCAAATTTATCTCCTGTTATTTTTTTCCATTTCTTTCTACCTCTAGTTCACCTCCAAGAGATCAAGTTTCTGTCACTGGCCGCAGGAGCGTGGAGGAGCAGCGACCCTACTCTCTCGGTGGCTGGGGGGAAACTGACTGCCACGCTCTGAGGCAACAAGTCCCTACGAGGAGCGAGTGACCGGCGCCGAAATGGGTTAGTCTCCCCTCACATTTCGACCGCTTCCCTATTCTCTGCTATAAGCTATTTTTTCGATCTCTCTTTTCCCCTCTTTCGTCTGTGGGTTTCGCGATTGTTTCTTTTCTTTTCTTTTCTTTTCTTTTCTTTTTCATTATCTCTGTATCTCTCTCTCTCTCTGTCTGTCTGTCTCTCTCTCTCTCTCTCTCTCTCTCTCTCTCTCTCTCTCTCTCTCTCTCTCTCTCTCTCTCTCTCTCTCTCTCTCTCTCTCTCTCTCTCTCTCTCTCTCTCTTGCTCTTATTTCCCTTCTCTCAACACTTTCTTTCATCCCTTTTCTCTCCTGCAATTCCTTTGTGTCCTCCTTGTCATCACTCTCCTGTCCTCACTTTCATCTTCTCTCTAAATCTTTATCTCAATCTTCTACCCTCTCCCCCACCCCCCCATTCCCTCTTTCGTTGCTTTCTTCTTCTCATTTTCTCTTCTCCTTCTTCTTCCTCTTTTCCCGTCGCCTGCCCTCTCGTCCTCGTCCCTTCCTCTTCCCCTTTCTCTTCTCCTTCCTTATTTTTCTCCTCTTCCCAATTTCTCTCCGGTTCCCTCTCTTCTTTCTATCTCCTCTTTCCTTCTCCTTCTTTCTTCTTCTCACTTTGCTCTCCTTCTCTCTTCTTCGCCTCCCTTCCAGTTCCTTTTCTCCTTCTCTCCCTTCCATTCCTTCTTTCCCTGCTCCCCCTCCTCCCTCTTTCCCCGTCTCTCTCTATCTCCTTTCTTCCTTCCCCTTGTCTTCGGTTTCCTCTGTCCTTCCTTTCCCGCCTTTTTTTCTCTCTCTCTCCTCTTCGCTCCTTCTTCCTTTCGCTTTTCCCCTCTTTACCCTTTCTCCTCTCCTCCGCCCCCTTCCTTTCCCTCGCCTTCCCTCCTCCTTCCATCCCCTTACCTTTCCTTGTCCTCTTCTTCTCTTCCTTCCCTCCCTCTTCTCCATTTGCTGGCTCCTTCTCTCCTTCCTTCCTTCTTTCTCTTTTTTTCCCTCCTCCTTTCCCTTCGGTTCACTTTGTCCTTCTCTTCTTTCCCTATCTCTTCTCTTCCTTCCCTCCCTTCTTCCTTTCCCTCTTCCTGCCCCCTTCACTCCTCTCCTCTTCCCTCTTCCTTCCCCTCCTCTCCTGTCCTCCTTCCCCTCCTCTCCCCTCCTCCTTTCCCTCCTCTACCTTCTTCTCCTCCTCTCCCCCTTCCCTTCTCTCCCCTTCTCCTTTCCCTCCTCTCCCCCTTCCCTCCTCTCCTTCCTCCCCTCCTTCCCTCCCCTCCTCTCCCATCCTCGCTTCCCTTTCTTCCACTCCCTTCCTCTCCCCTCCTTCTTCCCCTCCTCTACCCTCCTCTCACCTTTCACTCTCTTCCTTTCCCTCTTCCCCCCTCTCCTCTCCTCTCCCCTCCTCTACCCTATCACTCCCCTCCTCTGCCCTCCTCTCTCCTCCCCTCCCCTCCCCTCCCCTCCCCTCCTCTCCTCTGCCCTCCTCTCTCCTCTCCCCTCCTCCTTCCCTTCCTTTACCCGCCTCTCCCCTCCCCTCCCCTTTCATTCCCCTCCTCTCCTCGTTCCCTTCTCTCCTCTCTCCTCTCCCCTCCTCCCTCCCCTTCCCTCCCTTCCTTCCCCCCTTCCCTCCTCTCCCCTCCTCTTTCCCCTCCTCTCCCCTCCTCTCCCCTCCTCTTTCCCCTCCTCTCCCCTCCTCTCCCCTCCTCTCCCCCCCTCCTCTCCCCTCCTACCTCCTCTCCCCTCCCACCTCTCCCCTCCTCTCCCATCCTCCCTCCCCTTCCCTTTCCTCCTCTCCCCTCCTCTCCCCTCCTCCCTCCTCTCCCCTCCTCCCTCCCCTCCTCTCCTCTCTTTCTTCCCCTCCTCTCCCCTCCTCCTTCCCCTCCTCTCCTCTCCTCCCTCCCCTCCTCTCCCCTCCTCCCTCCCCTCCTCTCCTCTCCTCCTTCCCCTCCTCTCCCCTCCTCTCCCATCCTCCT